ATATACTGTTTCTCTTCTGGACTGCCTCGGCAGGCTGCCACGCAGGGGCCTCTGAAGTCTACAGTTTCCCCTGCGGTTTAGAATTTTCAATTGGGGGCTTCGGCGCCAGAAGCCGGTCTTGCCAATTAGCTCAATGACCTCAACCTTAACCCTGGAGCAAACTGAGTGGGCATTTGCCAATAAACAGGGGGAGCTCTCAACCCGAAACCGTCTTGTTGTTCTAGGGTCCAGCGTGTGACGTCTTAATGGGCCCTTACTCTTGCAGTCCTCATTTGCCTCTTCTTGCCTAGGCTGTATGTTCCCTTGTAGTAAACCCTAAACCCCAAACCCTAAACCCTCATGGTCGTAAGCTTGGATTTATGGAGGTCACGGATTACATGGGCATGCCGGTTCCACGTCTGCTGCGGCCTCAGAACTGCTTGCAGCCCAATTCTCAGGTCAAACAGACATGCCTAGGGCTCCCAGTTGCCTGAATAGTAGGTTACTGGGCCATGTAATTATAGGGCATATTGAACCCAGTTCCCATGACTTAGGTAACTTGGAGCCCTAGGGCATGAAGTTCAATCTAAACAGCAACTGGCGGAAATGCTAATGTGGCCTGCGAGGGCCTGCACAGATCCGCTTAGGCTTTAGTAGCATTGACGTCCTGATTGACGGTTGCTTGTTTCGTGTGCGCATTAGTCATACGTAGTGTTGAATCTCGATTAGTGTGGGTGGCCTTTGCTTGTGCGAAGCTTTGCCAAAATTATTCAGCATCCCCCCTGATTCGTTTGCGGGGGCCTTACTTGTGCAAAGTTGCGCGGCCTAAAACAGTTTTTGGGGGCAGGCCTAGGCATTTAAATCTAAAACCCTTTTACCTGCGCTACTGAGGCCCGAAAACCTGGTGTTATCTTCCCTTTGGTTAGCTGGGAATGACGGAAGGAGAAGAGAATGGAACTTAGAATAATGGGTTATAAGGACTACTATCAGGATCCATTCCTTCATTCCTTGCTGACCAAAGATAAGTTATTGAAACTCATGTGACACTCGACCCAAATTGTTTGGGGGATTCCGCCCCCTGCACTGAACGGGGCCCCATTTTTGGTTGGGCAGGGAGATACTAATCTGGAGTCACATTACTTCATCTTCATTCTTGGTCATCCCGCCATGACCAGGCGAAAAGCCTGAACCCGACACCCAACAGTGGCACTAACAGCAAGGTTGTACCTTAAAGGTTCAGGGTATAGCCCTAAACCCTAAACGTCTAAACCCTAGACCCTAGATGTTCAGGGCTTCTGGCTCAGCTTGCAAGTTTATGGCTACACCTTAGGAGAACCCCCCACCCTGTAATAGTGAGTATAAGGGATAGTAGTAACT